TTGCAAATGGCATCTCTTCTTATTAATAGTCTGAAGGCGTCTTCTACCACGATTAATAATCGTGGTAAGTACAACTATTACTCACATACAAACTCATTAATAGTCGTGTTTGACTGGTTTTTAGACTTAATAGTCCTACATCGCACAGTTAATAATCACATCTGAAAGAAAATATCCTTATTTATTGTGAGGAAACGTACTCTTCTCCAAAGAAAGTTCAAGCTCAACTTTTTTTTCAACGGCTGCCATTACAACCAAAAATTCAAAATTTAGTATTTTTTTGCACATGGCTTTTTAGGCAATAAATGTCACATATTTGAAGTTTTCTCAGGTTCAAATTCTTAGTGAACTTCATTTCTTTTCAAAAAGTGAGTTTACCAACTATGTTTTCTTTGTTTCTTCGCTCTTGCACGAACTACAGGATGGGCTTACATTGTTGTAAGAGACGTGACTAGCATTTCTTTTTGATGATTATTTACATAAATACGTTAATTTGCGACAGGGTTCGATTAAACTGAAGTTCAACAGAGAAAAAATAAAAAGAAATAGCCAAATAAGTCAAACTACATCAAATTCTTCCCAATAACAGCTTCTTGTGAAGCAGGATGTAAGTTTACGAGCAAGCTACAGATGAAAATGGCGGCAGCGAAGAGTGCCAAAGATGGAATATGATAAAATTCTTTCATGCTTGGATAACTTGCATCCCCTTACGCTAGTAGTCTTGGATATGTAGAATTGGAAATTGTCAGGCTTATTCCTTTTAAAGAAAAAAGAAAGCAATGTGTCACTGATATCCTTTCCTCATTTTGTTTTGGAGATACGTAATCCAAACAAAAAATGCGTTGCATTTAGATGGGTAAAACACAGAGAGAAATATTTGAGTTGCGGCTAAATTTCTCCACACCGCCAGACTCTTTCCAAAACTAGTGTGTTTCCAAAGTGGGTTTTTCAAGGGCAATAGGGAGAATAATCTATTGGAATGAAAAACCATTGTCGATTTTTGTTGCTGAATAGTTTTCTAGAGTTTACAATGTCACTCTTACTCGGTAAGATGTTTATTTGGTGATGGCGTTATTTATTTAACAGCAAAATATAGTCGTTTTTTACCCACAACCAATAGCAGGCAACAGTAAGAATAGCTCTTCTTCATTTCTTTCAAATAATAGCTGCTACACTCTTTCCTTCAAAAAATTTTAAAACTGATAAAAACATCTGATGACAGTGCGTGACTGTTGACTCATTTCATTCCTGTGTTGTTTTGGTTTGAATTATTTCGATCTAAGCACACAATGGGTTTTCATGATTTCTAAAACTTCTTTCATTCAATTAGCATATTCCTGAGAGGTAAACTAAAGTAATGTACAAGAACAAAAATGGGTTCTCACCAAAAGTGTTTCTGATCCTCGGTCAAAATTCAATATGCAGGAATTCGAAGCCTACGTCACGCACTACTACGTCACGCACTACTCCTAGTTTAAAAAAATCTGTTGTAAATAAGTTTTCTCTGTTTCAGCCTAAACATTTTTCGTTGGCAACAGAAACAATCTTAAAAAAATTCATAGAGATTTTCAGAGTATTCTTTTATTTATTTGCCATGGCCTAAAAAAGAAAACTCTTCGACTTGCCTCTTCCCTACTGGGCGAAAATTCGATTTTCACCGTAAAAAAGCTTTTCAGCTGACGACTGTTTGTGAAGACAAGCTTTATCTTCATTGTCAATGTCTTATTATCACCTGTAATTTTGCACACCACTTGAAGTGATGTGATTATTATTCCACAGTGCATTTTAGAAACAATCATCCATCGTGGCTCTTTCATTTAATAATTTTTTTATATCTCTCTCAGTTTCAGTGGAATTTAAGTCTGCAGTTACTGGAAAACAGACCAAGTGGAATTTCCCCTACTAGTTATATCATATATGCTACTTATATCATATAGTTTCATACCTTTGTTTTACGCTGGCCTCTCATGGAGCAGTTATGAGCACCACGGGTAGATTTCACCAGCTATCTTGTGCGACGCTTCTTCCTCCGATTTTTTGTCAAACAAACCCACTTTCAGTTAATAGCCTCAGTAATAACCAGTAATCTGTCTACTGATGAGTTGCTAATACCCCATTTCTATGTTTAGTGTCCTTCGTACACATTTTTACATCCCTAAATCCTCTGCACTTGTTAGTGTGGATGGGATACCTTGCAGATGGAACGCATTGCCAGAACAATAAGCATGCATGGTGACCAATTGCAAAGCTTGCTGTTAAAGCTTGTCCAATCACAAAAAACTAAACAAAACTTTTCAAAGACCAACAAAACTAGTTGTAGAGACATTTAGGGGAAACTTGGAATTAAATCGTTCAACAGTTCAACCCTTTAAAAAGCCAAAGCTAATCATACTACTGTAACCCTATTAAGAGTCATTGTCAGAGAAAACCAGGCAGGCGTGAAAGATGAGGGTCGACCGTTTTACCTCAAATTTTCACCATTGAATGCCTGTCCGAAATGATAAAGGAGGATGGTATTTAGGGATTTCTCTGGTATTTACTTCCCTAGTTTGACCACCCCCCCTATTCTTTAACTTCACAGACCCTGAAGCCATGACAAATATATGCCAAGTTTGAGGCTGAACAAAACACATTTCACATACTTTCTGAGAACTCGTGTAAATTGTTTGTGTTGTTTACAGGTTAAATTATGTTCTTGAAGAAAAATACGCCAACTTTAAATAAAAGTGAATTTTTCTATGAATTTCGAAATTTTGTCCCATGCGCGAAGATTACGTGGGCTAATTTTGATGTAATTTTAAAGCGACTGTTCTCAGAGGTGCAGTTCTCTTGTTCAACATTTGTATGTTATCTCGAATGTTTAACATCTTTTCTCCGAAAACCAGTTAACCCTACCTTAAGCCGTCATAATGCATTAGAGTGAGTTGCGCGCAAAGTCAGCCATCAGGCCATATTTTTCCCACCAATGTCCATAACGGATTTTTGGCAAATCACTGAGATCTTCCTATGATTCTGGCTTACTGAACCCACAAAATTTATTTTTAATTGTAACTGTAATTAGATTGAAGACTGCAACCTTACATACTCGATAATATCATAAATACAGTCCAAGGGAGATGCTGATCATGATAAGCAAGGGGGAATAGGATAT